TCATTCAAAAAATCCTTTGGACTATTCCGATTTCCATTTAAGCTCTTAAGAGCGACCATACTGGATGTTTCACGTGATGGAGATAATTTGTCGTCATCGTCATTATGTGTATAATTCCGCTTGCCATCGATCCAGATCGCCGAATAAACAGTACCAAAATTTCCAGCACCAATGTTTGTAATGTCTTTTAAATTTTCATAAGGTATCCATTCAATTACTTTATGATAAAATTCAGAACTTCTTTGTGCATTCTTTATAAATTCATCTATTTCATCATCTCCACTTGTCCAATCATGACTTATTTTAGGATCACAGGAATGGCAAAAGTTAATTCCAGTATTATATCGCCCACATATTGTACAAGTTCCAAACCTTACAGAGTATATTTTGTATTCATTTGATATTAATGTATCTATTTTATCTGATTTGATCTCTAATGATTTATTCAAATCTGACAATGATCGTTCATATTCTCCTACGACTCGATAAAGTGATCCACGATTAGTCAGAAATAAATTATAGTTTGGCTTAATTTCTAGCGCTTTATTTATATCAGCAAGAGCTTCTTCGTAATTTTTCATATATCTATATGTTGTTGCACGATTGGATAATGCTGTAGCATCATCTGGACGAAGTTCTAATGATTTATTTAAGTCTGCAAGTGATTCTTCATATCTGCCCATATTTTGGTAAGTTAAACTACGATTATTTAGTGTCGTAGCATCATTTGGGTTAATTTCCAATAATTTATTAAAAGCTATGAGTGACTCTTCATATCTTCCAATCATTCCGTATGTCAGTCCACGAACCACGAATATTAATGAATTATTTTTGTCAATTTCCTCTGACTTTTTTAAATCTGCAAGTGATTCTTCATATCTACCCATAGAATAATATGTTAAACCACGTCTGGCCAAGGTCTCGGCATCTTTTGGATTAATTTCTAATGATATATTTAAATCTGCAAGAGATTCTTCATATTTACACAAGAACTGATATACAAATCCACGATGAGCCAATATTTTTGCATCATTTGGTCTGAGTTTTAATGCTTTATCAAATTCAGAAAGCGATTCTTTGTATTTAAACGCAATTAAACTTGTTAACCCACGATGAAAATATAAATCTGCATCATTTTGTTGACTTTCTGACGATTGAGAAAATAAGGCGCTATGATTTTTATATATATCAGCATGTGACAACTCATATCTGCCCATATATTGATATGTTAATGCACGAATGCCTAGTGTTAAACTATCATTTGGTTGGATTTCTAATGATTTATTTAAATCTGCAAGTGATTCTTCATATAGGTACATTTTTTGATAAGTTAATCCACGGTTACTCAATGTTTTGGCATCATTTGGACAAATATCTAATAATTTATTAAAATCTGCAAGCGACTCTTCATAAATACCCATCTCTTGGTATATGACCCCACGTAACATTAATATATTATAATTATTTGGATTTATTTCTAAAGATTTACTTAAATCTGCAAGTGCATCTTCGTATCTTCTCATCGTTTTATATGTCAGCCCACGAGTAAACAATATTAATGCATTATTTGGACTAATTTCTAATGATTTATTTAGGTCTGCAAGTGACTCCTCATACTTACACATATATCGATATACCAATCCACGATTATGTAAAGATTTAACATTATTTGGCTTGATTTCTAATGATTTATTTAAATCTGCAAGCGCTTCTTCGTATCTTTGCATAAATAAATACGTGGTTCCACGATTATCCAATGTATTTACATTATTTGGCCTGATTTCTAACGATTTATTAAAATCTGCAAGTGCTTCTACATATTTATGCATGTTTTGATAGGTTAATCCACGTTGATTCAATATTTCGGCATCATTTGAATTAATTTCTAATAATTTATTTAAATCTGCAAGTGATTCCTCATATCTACCTATCTGTAGATAAATTCTTCCACGAATATTTAAAATTGCTGCATCATTTGGATTAATTTCTAATGATTTATCTAAATCTACAAGTGATTCATTATATTTACCTATTTTAGAATAAGTTATTCCACGGATAGCCAAAGCATCTGCATTATTTGGATTAATTTCTAATGATTTATTTAAATCTGCAAGTGATTCCTCATATCTACCTATCTGTAGATAAATTCTTCCACGGTTATTTAAAACTGCTGCATCATTTGGATTAATTTCTAATGATTTATTTAAATCTACAAGTGATTCATTATATCTATCTATTTTAGAATAAGTTATTCCACGGATAGTCAAAGCTTCTGCATTATTTGGATTAATTTCTAATGATTTATTTAAATCTGCAAGTGATTCCTCACATCTACCTATCTATAGGAATCACTATCATTCCAATACAAAACTAACATATCCATACCTAAATCATTTGTATCATTATAGCTTGTAAGTACAGTAAACCAGAATTTTTTATAGTAAATCATTTTAGAAATCACGTTCATTCCAATATAAACTATATAACACTATCTAAATCACTTGTATCAATATAGCAAGTAAGTATAATAAATGTTATTTACCATCGAATATATGGGCTAGGTACTGGCAAGATTGACAAAAAAAAAAGAACTTCGGAAAATCAATTTTTATGTTATGAATCTTATAATAGACCATAAGAAAACACAAGCTTAAATGAAAAAAGATTCTAATCTTATTCTAAATTGATTTATGTAAAAAAATATATTTTGAAAAAAATTGTCAATTTCGTCCCTGGCCCATATTGTCTACGAAGTGCACAATAGCAGAATACTTAGCTCTTAACATTTATTATTTTTTTAATATTAAGGCTTAAAGAAGAATTTTGTCATTGGACAAGTGACAATCACGACATTGATCAATTAATTAACTTAATGCAGTGAAATTTAAAGACGTTATTGAATGGATACCCTTTAGCAAATTTATAAATATAAAGTATCTTGCTAAAGGAGGCTTTGGCACAGTTTTTAAGGCAGTATGGATTGACGGATGTATTATAGGGCTTGATTATCAAAATAATGCATGGGAACGAAAACCGCAAGTAGATGTTTGTTTAAAGCGTCTTGATAATTCTAAAGATACAAAACAAGAGCTTTTAGAAGAAGTAGGCATTATAAATTATTATTATTAAAGTGTAGTGATCTTATTTATTCTAATAATTAATATTTTAGGTTAAAAATCAACATAAACATGGGGGAAATTCCGCAATTGCGATTTATGGAATAACCAAGAACCCAAAAGATGGCAACTACATGATCGTTATGGAGGAAAATTGTTAGATAGTAAGTTTGATGAATTGGATTGGGCTTTTAAAGTAACCAACTTATATTACATAGCTGATGGACTTAATACTATTCATGAAGCCAAATTAGTGCATAAAGATTTTCATTCCGGCAATATACTTAATCAAAATATGTTTAGTTCTTACATTACTGATTTTGGTTTATGTAAGCCAGTGTCACAAGACGCAAATTCCAAAGGGCTTTTTGGTGTACTTCCGTATATTGCTCCAGAAGTACTATACACAAACGAAAAGGAATACACTCAAAAATCAGATATTTATTCTTTCGGAATAATTATGTCAGAAGTTTTTACTGGATATCCTCCATATCATGATATTCCACACAACAAAGATCTAGCAACACGTATTTGTCTAGGTTATAGGCCCAAAATTAGATGCGAAGCTCCTCAATTACTTTTGGATCTGATGAATAAATGTTTAGACGCAGAACCTCAAAATAGACCAACTGCTGTAGAATTATCTGATACGTTGAATTATTTTTATAGAGATTTAAAAAATGAAAAAACCGAATTATATAAACAAGTTAAAAATATTAAAGACTTAGACAAAAATTTCTTAACATATGATCAAGTCAAATCGACACGATTCAAATATCAGACACATCCCCAAGCTATTTATACAAGTCGATTTTTGAATATTTCAAAACTCCTTAAACCAGGTAATGACACTGATATTTTTTTAAAAGGTTAGTAATATGTTATTAATTGTAAATATTTCTTAAATCTGTCAATATAGTAAATGCAGGTAATGATATTTATTTTTTTCAAATTGAATTCAAATTGTAATTAGTATATTTACTGTATATGTATATATATTAGTAAGTCAACCCATTGATTATGAAATTCCCGACGATAAGTGATATTTGATTTACTTATGATTAAACAGATTTATTGCTTATTTTATATTTATATTTAGATTATTAAATCAAGTAAAAGGAAGTAATTGAATTGGGGACATTCTATTTTATTATATCCATGCTACAATAATTCAGCAATTGTTATGTATCTTTATGTATTGGTACGTATCTAAAGAGAAAAAAGATATATAACATTTTTTTATATGACCTTGGTCATATAATCATATAATTTTTTGGTCATAAATCACATCGGTCATAATAAACATTAATAAAAAAATTTTGTACGATGATTCTTATTCTATTAAGAGGTCATAAAGTCATATAAACCTTCGTTATGACCAAATAACCTATGGCTGGTCATAAAGGCCATCGGCCAACACTGGTAGACACTCGCGTTCCTGAGCCCGTACTAGGAAGTTATGTACTGTCCCTAAGCACTTTTCTACTGTAGAATTTTTGGATTGATTCCCGAATGGATCAGGTTTTCGCAGTTTATAAATACTTATTCAGTTGGCTGTTGAAATTATCGCAACGGCAAAAAAGTTTGCTTACATTTATGTACTCGATAATTTACAAATAAAAAGGTTATGTTTATTATTCTCATTAAATGCGCGATTTAAAAATATACAAAATTAAAGAATAAAGTTGTCATTTACATGAATACGATAGAAAGAAGAAAAAAAACCCCCAATACAATAAAGTTCAGAAAAGTTATATAAACGATTTAGCCCATTCAGTAAATAACTGAGTAGTGAAAAAAAAAAAATTGATAGGGGCCAGCCCTTTACTACTTCTAAATTATATAAGATAGATTGTCCGTGTTTAGCTGGTATGTTTAGCCTCATTATTGAAATATGACAAGATATTTAGGAATTGCAGACTGGTTTAAAAAAAAATATGAATTAATTAGAATGAAGAAGTGATATCATAAATGACTATTTATTGAATACACACCGCTTCACTATCAAGAATATAAACTGGTCCAGGCAGATTAGTAATGAGATCGACGATGAACATGGTATTTGCAGTGGTACCATACGTCCCATTCTTTCCATACCCATACGACGCATGATAGCCATAACTGCAATAACCAAGTGAAACGGACGAATTGTTGGCAAACCACAATTCTTATACATAAAGAAAAGATTAATTAGTATATTGCATTAATATAAGAAAAGTTTATTTAATTACTTACTCCCATCACCGGAAAATCTTATCTTGTTTCCATCTTGTGCGATCCCACATGCACCACACCCAGATTTGCAAAATTCAGCTTTTGGATTGGAAACAAAACGTTGAGGACCGCATACACATTTTGTTCCATGAAATGCCCTAACATTTGGATAAGAATATTTGACTTTGTAATCGTCATGAGCTTTCACAAGATGAGTCGGCATGTTTAATTTGAATATTCCAAGAATAGTATTATTGGGAAGTCCCAAACAGAAGGATTGTAGGGCATCTTTATATTCAGGATCACCTGTTTTCAATAACTTCATTTCAGTCTTTTTGATCACCGAATTTGAGAATACTTGGGTTAGCTTGGGAGGTGGAGGAGTCGGATTAACAATCACAGGAGGTGGAGTAGTAGTAGTCGGATTAACAGTCACAGGAGGTGGAGGAGGAGTAGTCGGTTTAGCGTTCACAATAGATTGATTAACATTCACAGCAGGTTGCGTAACAGTCACAGGGGGTATATAGGTATTTTGAACAGGGGGAGGATATTTAATACAATTAGTACAATAAACATCCTTTCGACTCGCGCAAAGATTGTAGCATCCTGAAGCTTGACATGTAGGCTTCTTCTTTTTAACAATCTTTTTCATGCCATGGAAAATTTTCGAAACCAAAGATCCTTTATTGTATTGTTTTTCCATGGTTTTTTTTTTAGCTCTAATTTGAAAAAAAAGTATATAAATTATAAATGTTAAATTCAATACCAACAAATTAAAATTTAGAAGTTTATTGTCTCTCTGGCTTTTGAAAATTACGATGTATTTAAAAATGTTTGCCACGGAATTGAATTTCCGAATGGTTTGATTTTTTTTTTTAAGATCTATTTTTCAGTATGCACGTTCGAGAATAAGCAGCAATATAATAAGATTTTGTGTACGTAGGTCATTACTACTTTTATATTGGTATGTAAACAATTGCTATTATGGGATATTTAACAATAAAGAAAATTTCTCACAGACATGGATTTTTTTTTCGTCTATTTAATATACAAGTACGTATTCTTATCAATGTTCTAAATGTTCTATATGTGAATATAAACATACGGAAAATTCCATAAAATTTTTCCAAGTTAATTTAGCTATATTTAAGGTTTACTAAAAATAACTGAATCTTTATGAATTATAAACCAAATATTTTGAACATTACGGACGTTTTTGATCTTCTCCGATCGGCTCTTTCATGTAATTATAAAGAGGTATAGCATTATGAATTTTCTTATTTAAGAAAATTATTTAATTTGTTTACTATTTAATCTGTTCTGCAACGTCAAAATAAAACCTTGTAAAGATGATTAAACGAATGTTCTTAGTTATGTAGGATTAGGAAAATTGTTTCTACTATTATTCGCAGCAAATATAAATGTGCATATAAAATTCCTTGAAATTGCCAATGAAGGAAAAATCTATTTAGTCTCATTCATGTTCTTGGTGTTTTTGGTAATTAGTATCATATATTGGTCTTGATTTCTTGATATACTTTTAAGGATCAAATAAAAGTGATTTCTATTTTCCATTTTTTGTTTGGTATTATTAGCCTTTCTGACTTATTAAATTTGAAAATCAGGTTTAGATACCTATAATAGATGTTAAAGATTTCGATTGGAGAAAACATTGTGACACAATTCGGATTTCATGTCACATAATCCGATTCCTTTAACAGAATGAATGAAATAATGAGAAATGGAATTAACAATTAAACAAAGACTCATTAAATATATAATAAATTTTATTATAGTATATGTTGATTTTTTTATATGTATAAGTATTGTAATGATGATGGATGATGACAATAATTACTATCAATCATACAATAATAGCTACCGTATATATTTACTAAAAAAGCAGTTTTAATAAAATTTCAAACCAATAATTTAATATATTAAACGTTAATATTTTCCATGTCAACATATCAACGCATATTTCTGATAATAAACCAATACGGGTACATGACCATTTTAATATTACATTTTATTTTATTTTATTTCCTTAGCTTATATTAGAAATTAAAAAGGAAAGCTTTTACTGTCTGCTATTTAGCAATCTTTTCCATTTTCTCTGTTGCTGCTAAATGCCTTTTTTTTTTACATAAATAATAAACATATTAATTTCTTGAATTTTTTAAAGAATTATGCATATGTACGTACGTACGTACGTATTTAATGATTTGGCGGTACAGTTATTTATTATAGAAATTTCTTGTGATGCATTTATTTATAGATTTTCTAAATAGAAAACGATTTGTGAAATGCGAGTAATGTATAAGTTTATCTCATTGTCATGTGCGTAATCGTATCGTTTTGAATTTTAATGTGTCAAAGAATGTTAATTCAGAAAATTATGGTTACATTATTTTGTTACAACCTTTTTGGGACATATAATAAAAAACTTGATAAGCACATACATACGTACGTACTACCAATGATGAGCAAGTTAATTAAATGCATACGTATGCCTCAAACTTAATCAAAACTTTATCTGCTTAATAAGCATCATATGCATTATGATAATCTTTTTTTGACACAAGTACGTACGTACGTACTGTAATTCTCTATATAACGATAAGAGACATTCAGTATAAGAAACGTTTGTTATTTATAGGCCCCAGTTAAAAATTTTATAATAAAAGGCTTTGATGTGAGAAAATCTCGATATAAGAATGATCTTGGCTGAACCCGATGACTTTCTTATTTTGTATTTGAATTTATGCTTGAATGAACTTAATCGCTCCCGTTACATACATACATACATACATACATATGTACATACATATGTAGGTTACGTATAATCGTGAGTATGCTGAAACAGCTACAGTAACAAGAACTATTCACAAGTTACAATGAAAAAATCTTTCGATCAAGGGCAATTATTTGCAGAACATTTTTCTTAGTATTTCTTTCAACGTAATAATTGATTTTTCTATCTGTCAAATTAATTATATAAGTCAAGTCATCTTAATACATCTAGTCTCAATTAAAAAATAGTAATTCGAACTAAAAAAAAATGACATTCTTACATTTTCTTTCAAACTTGCCAACTTAATTCTATTCGATACATTAATCTTAACATTTTATTTACAATTCTGATAGTCCTATTATTTACATTGTTTCATACACTAATTATGCTCAAGATGCGCCTTTTTCCAAGCCATATCGCTCTGCATCTTTTCCTTGTGATATCATATGATCCTACCCACGATAACTTATAGTAATTTCTAGATTATCTAAACAATATACATTCAAGATATGACATACCATAGCACGATTTTGCTCAAATGCGTATACATGTGTATATTAATACCCTGTATTAACCCCACTTTTTGAGAGGTAGCATACAATTTTTTAACCTTAATTTTGAATTTTGGTTTTTAAGGAATTTCTCCGATACGCTATTATTTTTAAATTAGTTGATCACGGGTGATCTGCGATAGATACGAAAAGGTTAGATCAGCAAAAGCGTAAAGTAAAAAAAAAAAAATAGTATTAAAACTAACAGAATATTAGAAAGGCAAAGATTAAAGATGGATAAATCGTGAAATTTTTAAAATTCAGCGAAAGTAACCAATAGCAACTAAGTCATTAGTTTAGGAGTTTAGGCAAGACCAATTTAATCCGTGGTTTACATTCCATTCCCTAAACCATTTTTCTGGTACGTACTAGAGTTTCAGGTGAAACTAATTAATTTCACCAGTTTCACCTGGTGCACCATCGGTGACCGTTGAAGATTAGCTTCATCTATAACTCTAGTTTTACTATCGGTGCACCAGTTTCACCAGTTTCACCTGGTGCACCATCGGTGCACCATTGAAGATTAGCTTCATCTATAATTCTAGTTTTACTATCGGTGCACCATTGAAGATTAGTTTCACCTGCAACTCTAGTACGTACGTACACGTGCTTGTCATATTGTCCGGTAGTTGTTACTAATATATGTATCTGATCATATTAAAATAAATAATGTAACTCTAGAATGATAACTCGAAAATTTGTTTTTTCTCTTATTTTTTTTATATGTAAAAATTTTTTAATTTTATCAATTATTTATAGCATTATTAGTTTTAAAACAGAGTAAAAAAGAGAAAAGATCCGTACAAATATGATCAAAATTTGGTATGGCAGTAACAACATGGCCGAACAATAATTAATAATATCATATTAGACATCACATTAAACATTTTAATTTAAACTTTTTATCATACCAAAATTTTAGCGTGGTGTTTTTGTTTTTATTTGCTAGGTATATTTGCCAGTATCCTTTCTTTTTAATCTAAGTTCGTTATATCAAGATTCAAGGTATTTTTTTGAAGTGTATCTGCGCTAATAGTGTTCTTGCAAATTTTATTTGATAATTAGCTTTTTTTTGACAAACATTCATCTGTAAACAATTATGTAAATAAGTTAATACTTAAAAAAATAGAATTTATACGTCGCTTCTTTTGAAATAAATACGTCACTTATTTTATCCGAAATCGGACGTCGAATCATTAATTCTAAAACCCCCAATAATAATATTTCATAAAATTTTGATGTGATATTGCATAATTTTTATAATTAAAATATAAAATATAAAAGACAATATGTAAAATTGAACTGTACAATTATTAATAATCACAAAATTACAATCAAAAATTTTCTTGATGCGTTACAAGTTACAGTTGGATAGTTGGCTAACGTTATCCTTTCTCGATATTAAACAAGCCAATTATAACACAGCATAATCCTAACCGATCATGTAATTAAAGTCGGTCAATGAAATTTAATCAAACCTTCTGAGCACATATGTTAATTCCTCTAAAGACCAAAACATTGACGTTAACCGACTATATGGCCCAACACAAGTGTAACTAATTATTTTAATAAACTCACAAATTTTTCTTGATCTATATCAGTCAAGACGGGTCAGACCATTTTGTTGGAACATAGTAAATAGTAAAAATAATGAGTGGGGAAATTTTTGATGAAATGTATGTACTTATGTGCATACGCATATGTATTAATTCATAGATAAGCCTGCAAATAGAGAGTTGATACATAAATGTTGCCTTTTTTTGGATTAAATCTATTTCAAGTTACTATAGAATGAAGTCCAGCTCGGATCTCACTAATAATAAATCATATTATATTTAGCGTTATAGTTTGGAACCTAATTAGTGATTTGCAAAATCAAATTTAAGTTCGAATTGTTAACGTTAAATCGAATTTCGAATTTATACCAGCAATGAGTGTATGGTTTATAGTTTATATGCTGTTTGAAACGATATTTGTCTGCAAAATCTTAAGTTTGATTGGTCCGCATGACTTATTCATCAAATTTTGGTTATTTTTCACGCATAATTCATCACGCCATTATTCTTTACATATGAATTCACCATGCTATAAATTTCTGTATACAATATACACAAAATGTATACATGCACGCAAATACGTAATTACACGTAATTACAGAATTATAATTTAGAAACGAAGAACCACAAATATGAGTAATATCGCAGTTGCAATAACTAACGATAGTAAAAACATACAAAAATTAGTAACCTGATGCAAGGTAATTTGTCTGTTTATCTTATATTTGGCATTTTCATTTTTTTTCATAGGATTTTTTATTGGGTTGATGAAATGATAATCACCGATCGCCAAATATTTGAG